GACTAAATTAGTTAGCGGCAACATAGTGTCATCTGTTGACGCTAACATATTCTTAATAGATGCGCTTTCTTCTTAAAAGACATGCCTGGAAGAAATTCTATTCTCGAAAAATATTCACCAGTCACTTTTATCTGATATATTATAATAAGAAATGACTGCCTAAAACTAATTATCTGTCAACATTCTTACTTATATCCTTTTTTTCATTCATAACTGCATAGGCTAGAGTTCATTGGGTTCAACATTTATGGACCCGAGGTCGAACTTAATTAATCCAAATTTTTTGAATCAGGATAGGAACATGCGTTTTCAGTATACTGAACATTGACATCACCAACTCATTGTAGTTAGTACACACTGATCACGCTGGTACACTAGATCATACCGCTACGAAAAGGACATATTTTAAGAGAATAGGTATTTCAGTATTTGCACCAGCACTACACATTTCTGGATCGAGACTTAAACCTTCGATTGATCTCAAACTCGAATCCGCGGAGCCAATCCACTGAGCTCTAATCTAGATACTTTTTTTTTTGACAAAATATTATTTTTAGGGCTATGAAACAAGTGCTGAACGATGGAGTCCTGTACAAAGTATTGAGAAGATCTTACTTTCAGTTGTTTCTTTACTTGCTGGTAAATATATTCTAATCTTAATCTTTAACGTTTATATCTTATTTTCTCATAGAACCAAATGAAGCAAGTCCAGCAAATGTTGATGCTGCAAAAATGTTCCGAGAAAATCGTGAAAAATTTGATGAAATGGCAAAGCGTAGTGTTCGAAAAACACTTGGACTTTAATTGATCTTCATTTGTTTGTTTAGTTTTTGTTTATCTTTAATTTCTTTTCTTTTTATTCACAGTAAAGAAATTTGCAATATGATCCATGTCTTTTTAGATGATTTTTTCTCGAAATTCTTTTTTAATTATTAATTATATTTCACGTCGAGTGAGTTATTCTTTCTTTTGCTTTGTTTTGTTTTCTAAATATCATAATAAATAATATTCGTATAGTTTGTTCAAAATCTTCCACGTAATGTTCAACTTGAACTTGATCCAGATGTTAGTAAACAATTAACATCTGATAATAGAAAATTAGCGTTTTTTAAAGAACATAAAGGAAAATTTAATCATACAAGTGTCTTACCAAAACAACTTGAAGAAACAATAAATACAATTCTATCTGGTAAAATTCTGTTTTTCTTTGACGTATTCATAAAAAGAAAGTTCGATTCTTTTTTTGCATAGATATTGAACCACAACGTCTGAAAGTGGATATGAAATTACTTGCAGATCATTTAGCTGAACGACGTTTACCAATTGAACAACGTGAATTAAAAACTATAGCACAAAATGTTATACAAAATTTAATAAATACAGAACGTAAATATTTTATAGAAAGAAGGGATCGATAAATCGTTGAAATTGGCTTCTTGGAGAAATTTGATTTCTTCTATGTCAAACGATCACACAAGGTGTCTGAAAGTGAGCTTTGGTAGAATTAGTCATATGTATATTTAACTCGACTGTTGATGATAATTGATACTTTTTATCTATCCATGTCATGAGCAACCTGACTATTTTTATATGGTCCGAAATTATTTCTCAAGCGCTTCAAAGTGATATAAGAACATCGGAGAAAAAGCACTGGCAGCGCAAAGATATCCTAGGGATCCTTCTCGAGATAAAGTTTTGAGCCTTTCTTGATGGCATTCAGTAGATCTCGATATGAAAATTACAATTAGTATGAAAAATAATACGATATACTAAATCAGCACCCCAGACTGAGTGGAGTTACGTGTATGTCATATATTTTCGCAAACTTCTCTCGTCGAGAAGTTCACTCCTGGTTTCCCTCAAGGTTGGATCAAAAAATGTATTTCATCTAAAAGGTATTTTGATAGTAAGAGCGAAGTCCTAAGGTTACAAAACGATAGTAAAACTCCAAATAGCAGATGAATAAACAATAAAAGTAGAATTTTCATAATATTTACTTTATGACTCAATGCTGAGAGGAACCAGGAGTAAATATTTTGACGAAAAAAAAAGGTTGCAAATATATTCGAAATATACGTAAGCCCACTCAGTTTGGGATGCTGATTCAGAATATCATTTTAGTTTTCACCCAAAATCGTAATTTTTATATCGAAATCTACTGAATATCATTAAGAAAGGCTCAAAAACTTATCTTTAAAACTGTTCTTAAGATTTCTTTGTGCGATCAGTATTTTGTGCTTCGATATTCTTTTACCATTTGGAAGCACCTAAAACGTAATAAACACCTTGGTTGCTCATGAGATGGGTAGATAATAAGTGCTGATTGTCATCAACAGTCAGGTTTAATGTATATGTGACGGCGATAGACTATTTCAATCGACTTGCCCACAGTACAAACAAGTATTATATGACTAATTCTACCAGGATTTACTTTCAAACAGCCTGTGTGATTGTTTGACATAGAAGTAATTAAATTTCTCTAGGGGACCATTTTCAACAATAATCAACCCTCGCCTTCTTTTTATATTTATGTTTGTATGGTTTTTTTTTTCTTTTTTTGTAAAGCACCAATAAATACGTTAGCAATGAGTCCTGAAAAACGTGAAGAATTAAATCTTAAACGACAACATGAATTAATGAAACGATTAAAATCATCAATTTATCATTGGCAACCATTGACGTAAAATTGAACATATATGTAAAAAGAAATAGAACTTATTTTATATATTTTAGTTTTGATGAATATAAATCTAAAATATATATGGCGACAAATTTTGCATCATATTATGCAATGCTCGTACAAATTTTTAATGAAGTGCGTTTATTAGTAATGGGTGATTGGAAAGTTTGTTTTATCTATTTTTATTGAAGAAAAGTGAGAGACATTTTAGAAGATCTAAAAAAGAAAATTTTAATTGTTAGTCAACAGATTTTCGTTTATTCTATAAGTCCTTTGTCGAATATGTTAAAAATTATCGGAGTCGGTCGTTCTGTGTGATATTGAACTAAGCTGTAGCTTTTATTCAACTGAAGCTGCAAGTACTTTTTCAAAAGTTCGTATCAACGTAAAACGGTTGTCAACTCTTCAAAAATGAATTTTTAGGAAACACGAAAATTGAATTGCCTTGCCGAAAGACATAAATAAAAACTTTAAATAGTGCATTTTGTAGAGTAGTTTTTCATCTACAAGCTGATATATAGAAATAAAGATCTCAACTTTTAGTTTCGAATCACAATAGTGAAAATACAAAAATTTTCCATTCAAACTAATTTTTTGGATTTTCCAAAGATTATTTCACTACTCTCGAAAAAAAAAACTTAGACAAAAATTTCAAAGTTCATATTCGAAAATAGATCAAATATTTTCTCTAAAAACTTTCCAATCACCCGTTATAAATCATATCCGTAAAAATTTATCTTCAAAAATCATCTAGATTAAAAAACGAGAACGAAATTTTCGACCTGCTCGTTTATTTGATTTCGGATCTGGTGTTGGTTCTGCTATGTGGTAAAATATATCTTTAATTCTTATTTCTTTTTTTTATTTCTTTTAATTTATCTTTAAAGGGCAGCTATGCATGTATGGGGTAAACAAACATTTGCCGAAATTCTTAATGTTGATAAATCACGTGAAATGAATGAACTATCTCAATTAATATTACAAGGTGGTCAACATAATAAAACACCAATTGTACATGGTGTTGTCTATCGACAATTTATGCCACATGGACGTGATGTATGTTTTTACATTATATTTTTTGAATATGTGATATGTTCGGAAAAAAAAATACAATAAAGTTCGTTTTTTTTTGTTTAGAATATATTTGATCTTGTTGTTGCTGATCATACGTTATTTGAATTTGAAAATCGTTTTGAACGTTTAAAAGCTGTTCAATCATTATGGTATAATGTTAAACCTGGTGGTTTTCTAGTAAAATTTTTTTCTTTCTTTCTTTCTTTTCGAGAAAAAAATTATTTAATTCAATCATTTAGTTTAGATTCTTGTTGAACAAGGTACTATTCATGGTTATACAGCAATTATTGAAGCTCGTGAAAATCTATTACATGTAAGTTCTTGAAAACAAATTATGTAAATAACACAAAAAAAAAAGTTCAGAAACAAGTCATTTTATTTATTCCGATAGTTATCAAGTTAATAATTAGACGAAATACAAGTATAGTTCTATTGCATATAAGGAAAAGATATTAACGACGAATAAGCAGAAAGCACCTGCTTGTTTTCTATCAACAGAAAGGGCATCTATGTGATTCTATTTGAATAGGCAATAGAGTTTGTAACATGATCAACTGAGAACCTACTGTAAGAAAACTATATATAAAGAAAACATATGGAAAACAAATGAAGAAACACATTTGGTACGATATAAACTATGCAGAAAAAGGAAACGAGGTAATTGTAAGTAAATAGTATGAATCATTACAAAATACATCGACGAAACAACATCTTGAAGACTTATATATATTAATTTTAATCAACGCTATAGGATCATATGTAATTAACGCGAAATATACAATATATTACGTATTTTTTAACTTTCTATGATCTTATGATATCTTTTTAGCGTATCGCTGTTTTTGATGAAACAACGAAGAAGAATGACGATGAAATAAATAATGAAGAATCATTGACAGAACATGATGACTCATTGCTGAATCAACGATATTCTCCAGCACACATTTTTTCACCGGTATTTGTGTAAAACAAATATTGTTTGGAATATTTCCATTGTCTGATGAAATTTAGTGTCCTCATGATTTAACTTGTCCAAAGAAACAGTTAAATATACCATGTCGAATAGCAACACGATATCGACCATTACAAATATTTGATCTTCAACGAGTAATGATTCTTTTTGTTTTTTTTTTGTTTTGTTGAAGATTATTTTTGTAAATTAATTTTTTCTATTTCTTTCTCTTAGCATGTGCCTGATTATAAAACAACTGAAATGTCATATATTGTTATTAAAAAAGCCGAACGAAATAAAGATGGTAAGATACGAACAAAAAAACAAACCTTCTTGAAATCTTATAATATTTTTTAAAAGATATTTATGAAACATGGCCACGTGTTATTGAACCTATAATGGATCGTAAACATCATCAACATGTTCGACTATGTTGCCCGAATGGTGAATATGTTAATGTACCTATATCAAAAAATAAACATGGCGTGTATGTAATTTTTAGTTTTTCTTAATAATCCTTGGTGCGAAAGCCTTGACAAAAAATATTCATGATTACAGCCAGAAACAGTTAATTAGGATTAGGCCTTTTTCATTCTTTCTGAATATGTATTTAGGATTTCTTTCTCAGGTAAAACTGGACAATTATCATTTAACTGTTTCAAAAGGTCTAAATTAGTAGTTGTACAAGATACTATTTTGTATTTCGATTGAAACCTATCGAATTCAAAATACAAAATAGTTTTTAATCACTCAATTTACTCTACAAACCGCAATATTTACTTTTGTATGACAGATTTTTAAATAAAAGCAATTTTTGTAACAGCAATTGTTGATTTCCATAGAAACTAGCTCTTTAGTGGAAACGCGTAAATGTCACTTATGGTAATATCTCATTTTGTAGAGAATTCAATGTTCTACAATAATATTGAGTTGAAGCTGTCCAAAGATACAAATTAAGGACTGCACCCAAATCGTTACAGGCACAATTTTGAACTTTTTTACAAAATTAACGGATAGTTATTCAATTTTACTTCAGAAAAAAAATCTAAATATATATTCGGAAAGAATGAAAAATTCGACATCTGACTCTAAACTATTGTCTTTCGGTGGTAGAAAAGATGAATGAATATTTTGTCCGAAGACTTTTGCAGTCTAGGTTAAGTATTATTAATTTTTTTTTTCAGTGGTCTTCATCGTTTATCACATCATGCTGAACCCGGTGATATATTTCCAGTAACTGGCGAACTTATTGAAGATAAAACTATAAATAATAAAGAAGACGTAATAACTCCTCCACAACGACGGAGACGAGCATATCGAACATAATTATTTTTGTTTTCTTTTTGTTTTGTTACATAGAGATAAGAACAATGAAATAATCTCTAATGTTACATGTTGTTATACTTTTAGATAATTTTTTTAAACAAAAAAATATATCTATAAAGAACAGTTCATAAATGGATTATCGGACACTTGTTAATGAGGATAATGATGGTACTGAAGGACAAGATCAAAGTTTATCACCATTTATACAATTTGATACCGAAGAAGATCAAAATAATAGTGAAAAACGTAAAGACAAAAAAAAAAAATTTCTTTTAAGCTTTCAGTAAAAGGAATATATTTTTCTTTTTCTTTTAAAGAATCACGATGGAGTCATCAAAAAGATCTCGATGATTTTTTTGTACGTGTATATCAATATCATCAACGACATGGATTTTTTTGTATTCTACTTTCTGAAATATTTAGTCTTGTGTAAGTTACTTGAAATATATATTTTTTTCTTAAATTAAAAAAAAACAATTTTTTTCGATAGACAATTTATATTTATTGTTTCATTTACTGTTCTAATTGTTCAATGTATTGATTATCCACTTTTATTTCGTTCAACACCATCAGCTAGAAATATAACACATAAAATACATTTTAATGAAGTTATTCAATCACCTAAACAATGTCTTAGCAGGTATATTTTGCTTTTTTTTAATTAACTATAAAATTTTATTTTATACTAATTAAGTATGCATCTATTAACAACATTATGTATAATATTTTCTATAATATATTGGCTTTATCGTTTATCACGTGCTGTATATAATCTTATTTCATATTTTAATATTCGAGCATTTTATATTCAAGCATTGGATATTAAACCGGTAAAAAGAATTGTTAAAGGACTTTGTCAGATTTGGTGATTTATCTTGAACTAGGATACTATATATGTGGTTTTCTAGAGCAATTTTACGCTACATCGAATGGTGTATAAGAAATCAAGTTTTATGAAAATATTCATGTACAGAATGTTCGTATACTGATTATAATCCTTGAGGAATACATACAATATCCATAGACATTATGATCCCTAAGATAAACTTATGAAAATTTTTTTTAAAACTCAATTCGATACAATTATAGGTATTCTTCAATTCTTTATAGTCAATAGTTTTCATTGTTGCTTTCTTCATACCTGAAAATGACTCCTTTTCTTAGGTCGAAGTTATTTATTGACTATATGATATTCCAGTGTGTTCAACTTCTTGCCACAGAACAAGTGAGCATCAACGTGAAACTTTCTCAAAAATTGTACATTGTCAACTTGCAAGATTGTCCCCTAGAATATCCCATTCTCTTATATAAAAGGACCGATCTATTGATAATATTTTAGCAATACTCAACAATCCTATTAAAAACTTCTATGTACCAACAATCAGCACAATATTTCTGATGAATTGATATAAATAATTCTTTTATACCCGGAAAAAATTTTCTCGATCTCTCGATCTCTGAAGGGCGGTATAGGGATATTGAAAAATTTCTTTTTGAAATGAACATGAAATATTTATGGATTCTTGTAGAATTTCGTTTAAAAATCAAACCTGTGTACTCGGAATAAAAATTTCAAAAAAGAAATTTTTCCATATCCTCATATTCGCTCTCCAGGCGTCTGGAAGCTAAGAAATTTTTTCCGTTTATAAAGAAGTTATTTATATCAATTGGTTAGAAATGCTAGGCTGATTACTGATACAACAATTTTTCATAGGACTATTGGAGTATTGTTAAAATATCGTCAATATACTGGCTCTTTCATTTTGGAAACTAGACTATTCTATGGGATAATCTTGTAAGTTGACAATGAGTTTCTGTTGTTTCAAAAGATGTCATTTATGAAATATATCGAGCTCAATAGCGTGTAGTTTAAGAGCACCCACCTATAATTATATTGAATTGAGTTTAAAAAACAAAATTTTCGTAAGTTTATCTTAGGAATTATAATGTCTATGAATATTGTGTATATTCTTCAAGGATTATAACCAGTATATAAATATTCCGCATATGAACATTTCCATAGAACTTAATTTCTTATACACCGTTTGATGCATCGCATATTGTTCCACAAAACTATATGTATGGGGTTGTGATTCAAGGTAGATCACCATATCCAGCAAGGTCCTTTGTTTTATGTTTGACGTTTTTTTCTTTGTATTGTAGAATGATCTATCAAATATGACTTGGCATGAAGTTCAACAACGTTTATTAATTGCTCAACGAACACATCATTTATGTATACATAAATTAAATTTAACAGAATTAGATATTCATAATCGATTATTACGTTTTAAAAATTATGAAGTAGCAATGGTTAATAAAGGTATTTTACCACCAAGAATACATCTACCAATATTTGGCGATATGTATGTTTCTTTATTAATATTTGTATAATAATCAGGATTTTTTGTTTATTTTGATCAATTTTAGAATTTCATTTACAACCGGTTTTAAATTTAATCTACGTTTAATATTATTTTGTAAGTAGTTCAAGTTGTCTTTGCAGATAAATTCGATTACGGATAGTTAGCTAATCGATTAATAGTCTACACTATGTGGTAAAAGTTTTTGCATAACATGTCTAGTCAAGTTTCGTCCATTTATAAGTCATTGGAGAGAATCAGAATTAATCAGCTAGAAGAGAAGTTATAAGTGACATTAAAAATGTATATTTTGCTTATGTGAGGGAATCATCTGAGCTGATACCCGCCATTTAAACTCATATTAAATCCATAAGGACGTTCCATTAATAGTAGCAAAAATCTAAAAGGATTCGTCTTCATGGGTCTTCGAAACCGAGTTAAGATCGTTTTACTACATTTTTTTTATCTAACTTTAGATAAATACTGAATAATAAAAAAAAAAAAATTTCGATGCGAAATTTTGTCCATATGTAGATCGAGCGACCCGTAGAATATCTTAAATATTCTTTTCGACTGAAACTTTCAGGATATTCTGTGGATCATTAAATATATGTATAGACAAAATGTTACATTAAAATTCTGTTTTTTTGATTGTTTGATATGTACTTAAAGCTTGATCGGAAATTCGGTAAAACAACCATAACTTGATTCAAACACTCCTGAGTATACATTTGGAAAAAACTTCAAATTCTCGCTTTAATTCACTGCATTTGATCCTCTTCAATGATATTTAAGTATCCAAGAAATGGCAAAATAATATTTACCAACATCTTTTTATTTTGTGTTTTATACAAACGTTATTTTTAATCGCCATCAAAGATTTTTATTCTCAATGAATTAATTTTAAACCCGAAAAAAAAAATTCTGAATATATAGTTAGAAAGAGCATGAAGTCTTGACTCTAGCTAATTACTTTTAATTCTCTCTAGTGACTTATAAGTGAATGAAGACTCTGTACGTAGGTTAATTCATACGTCATGAGTAGTTATTCAAAGTATTTCAAATTAGAACGATCAGATTAACTTGATACATTGCTTTAATTAATATCAACAGTGAAGAAAACTTATTTTATTGTAAACATGATATCTTGAATATGAAAATTTTTCTTTGAAAATTTATTATTTATCTACTTTTTTTTATAGATGAGAGAAAAGTCCTTTTATTTTACTATTATTTCTCATGATTATTTTCTAATATTTTTGAAAATTGAATATATTTAGGGGGTCCATATGCACCATTTGATGAACGATGGCATTTACGACAAGAATATAAAATCCATAGTCAACGTGAAAAATTATCTAAACAGTAATTTTTTTTTAAATTAAATATTTATTTTTATATATTAAAATATATTTAGATTATCAAATTTTATTTTACTCTATGGTCTTGCTAATTTACTTTTATCACCATTTATATTTATTTGGCAAGTATTAAATCTATTTTATGGTTATACAGAGGTAAATCATAATGAAATCGAATGATTAAAATAGATAAACTTTTTATTTTGTTTTGTTTTATAAGCTTGTACGGCGTGAACCAGGTGTATTAGGTAGTCGTCGTTGGAGTAATTATGGTCGATTTTATTTACGACATTTTAATGAACTTGATCATTCCATTAATCAACGTCTCAATCGTGGTTATAAACCAGCTATTGGTTATATGAATTCATTTGTTAATTATAGTATTGTTGAAGCAGCAAAGTAAAAATTTTTAAAATAAAAAAGAATAAATTTAGTTTTTGCTAATTATTATTCATATGTTTTTGTTTTAGATTTATTAGCTTTACAACTGGTGCTATATTAGCTGTTTTAATCTTATTAACAATTTATGATGAAGATGTTCTTAATGTTCAACATATGTTAACACTAATGACTAGTCTTGGTGTTGTTCTTGGTGTTTGTCGATCATTAATACCTGATGAAGTAAAAAAAAAAACAAATAACAATAAAGATTTGTATTAAGAAAAAATAATTCTTTTTGTTTTTGTAATGTAGAATGCAGTCTTCGATCCCGAACAAATGTTACAACTTGTTCTTGCACAAGTTCATTATCAACCAAATTCATGGAAAGATCATGCACATACAAATTATGTTCAAGCAGAATTTGGACAAATGTTTCAATTAAAATATGTATGTTTATTGATAAGGTTTTTAAAACAATTGAAAATCATTTAGTTGGTTATGTATGAAAAGTTTGAAACAAAACTTTTTTATAAAAAAAAGTTTATCTTGTTTTATTGATGGATTTTTGATGGAATTGATGGGTTATAATTAATGACTATAAGTGAATGCTTTTGCTGTATTAGTATTGAATTGTCTTGGATATACTGTTTTAAAATTTTAAAAAAACATGTTGTGCATCAAAAATGAAATTCGATCTTGTGAGATATCAAATTTTGACTTGAAACTTTATACGTATTCAAGATTTCAACTAGAGTATTTCACAGAAAAATTTCTTTGAAATAGAAAGCTTTCAAAGTATCAATTTTCATAGATGGCAAATATAGTATGTATTCTTTGAAAACTTCATATTTCGGAGAGACTTTGTCCGAAAATGCTGAAATTTTTTTATGCAAGTTACTTTACTTGAGGGCTTTATATGAATAAAATTTCAAGCCAAAATTTGAAAGTATGAGTTTGCTGCAAAAGTGAAGTTCTTAAAGGAATATATACGAAAATTTGGATATTACACGAGGAACAAGCAATAAATACAAACTCCTTCTAAGGTATTCATAGTTCATTAGGATCTAAATGATGCACATAGTTTTGACACAAATACCAATTGTCATCTAGGAATGTTCCATCATAAGTCATCACACAAGTACTAATATTCGTTTAATAATAATCATTATCTTCTTTTTATTGTTTCCATCAACACGAAGACTAGTGCTGTAACTAGAAAAAAGTTGTAATGAGAGAAGGTTCAGTTCCTGATCGTGTCTTGGGCAAGAGCGAAGCAAGAGGAAAAGCACGACTCCAGTATTTTATTCCTACTTCGAAGTACTGAACTTTCACTTTTTTCTCCCATGAAGCAAGACCCTCTGGTAATTCTTATAGAAGAGCTCAAGTCCCTTTTTCAGCGGAGGGCTAAGCCTCTTCATGTGTCCGTCTGGTTATGCCACTAACCAACGTATATATCTCCAATGAATGATATAGCACTTGCATCTTTGGCTTTTGTTTTTACTTATATATAAAATCAGATTAATTGACTTAATTTTTATGAGTTTGTTTTTCTTCATTTAAGGTTTATATTCTCGAAGAACTTGTTAGTGCCTTTGTAACACCGCTTGTATTATGTTTTCAATTACGCCGTAAATCTTTACAAATAATTGATTTCTTACGAAATTTTACAGTTGATGTACAAGGTGTTGGTGATGTTTGTAGTTTTGCTCAATTAGATATAGCAAAACATGGAGATATGAAAGTTAGAAAAAGAAACTAGTTCTTTATTATATTTTTTCAATTAAAAATATGTTTTTGTTTTCGTTAGTGGTTTGCACCTATACGTCCAAAATCAGTTAATAAAACTGATGGTGGAATAGCAAATGATGGCAAACTTGAATTATCATTAATGCATTTTCATCACACAAATCCAAATTGGCAAATGCCTAAACAATGTGAAGTTTATTTAGAAAAAATTCAAGAACGAGGTTTTGAAATTTTTTTGTTTATTGAAATATTTTATGTTCAATTATATTTAATAGCTGTTGAAAATCTTCATGGATCATCAATACTTCAACAATCATTAAATGATATACAAAATCTTCAATCTCAACGAAGTTTTTATAGTGATCCTCAATGTGAAATTTTTTTTTCAAAAGAAAAAGAAAAATCAAAACTTTTAAACTAATTTTAATTTATTTTAGGCACAACATCAGTACAAAATCGTTCGATCTTTTCAAAACCATTAATGAATACAAGTTCATATTCTCCATTACATACAACTATATCTGTTCGACCAAATGTTTCCACAGTACAAAATAGTTTTCTAAATGGTGGTGTATCAAAAGCTGATTTACCTTATCGAAGTTTAGCACAATTTGGTGTCCTTTCAAAGTATAATGTTTTTTTTTCTTCTCAAATTATTCTATATTTTTTCATTTTCTTATAGAATTCATTCACAAATGTTTGATATGTCTGATCCATATTCTCTTATGGGCTCATTAGCTTCGATACAAGGTTTACCAGGTGCAGCACAATTAGATATGAATATATCATGTTTATTTATGCATGAAGTAAAGATAATTTTAAAAACGTTTTCTTACTCTTCAATTTACAAAAATAAATCTTTTTTTTCTTATAGTTACGACACAAATATAAACATGGTGAATATGAAGATTTAGAAAATATTAACGAAGATCAAAATAATGAATCGACTTGTTAAAAGACAATTCTTTTTTTTTCTTTTCTTGTGTGATAGTTTTGTTTTCTTTTTTGTTTCTCGAGTTTTGTATATGAAATGTAAATAGCAAACAAGAAAAAAGAGAACGACACAAATACTTAATTTATCATTTCTTCTCCCTTTATTTCCACTGACAATTTCTATGTGTATAATCGATTTTTTGATACTTATGTTACTGTGTAAATTTCTTGTTTATGGTAACAGAAAAAAAATTCGTACTTTTCGAGTTTTATTTTCTATCATAAATATATATATATATATTTTTTTTTTCATACTTTAAAAGAAATAGATATATAAAGAGCAGGTTAAGTTATTGGATAATTTTATCTTGAAGGAGTTTATCAATTTGCTCATTTGTATATTTAAGTTCGGTTTGAAGAATAAAACGAGTGTGTTCACCAAGTAATGGTGCAGCATGACGAAGCATTGAAGATTTTTCAATATTTTCAAAATTTACTGATGGACCTAAAAGGAAAAGGTTTTTTAAGAATAAATTAACAAAAAAAAACAATATAGTAGAAGAATATATATCATTTTAAAAATATAGTTGACTATTATCATTAAACTGTTTAATCTCATGTCGGAACATTCTCAGATATCTCCGTCTTTTTGAGCTGATATGTTATCCATAGTTAGGGCTTGGTGAGTTATGAGAAGCTCCCGAAGAGTTTTTAATTGTTCGAGTATTTTCCATATACGTGAAAGTAATGGTGAATGCTCTTTAGTGACTATTAAAGAGTCGGAGACTGTAAATCGATGTGAGAGTACACTTAATGATAACTAGATTATACTAGTCTTTTCAACGTTGGAACCTTAAGAAGTTTGTAGGTGGTTAGCCTCAAAATTTCTTGAAATTTGATCATAATTTTCTCACGATAAACGTGCATTTTATCGTATTGCTGAATAGTGTACAGTTCACTTCATATGCAAATCATGAAGATAAACAGTTTATATTCTAATGAAAATCATATCGAGAAAAAACCATTCGAAAATCTACTGTAATCCAGTTATCATTAAATGCATTACCAAAAAGATTTACAGTCTCCTATCCTTTCATAGTGATCAAAAGAGCATTTGTCATTACTTCCATGTACATGAAAAATACTCGAACAATTCAAAACCCAGCAAGAAACGCTCATGGATATAAATCCTTTGGAAGCTTTTCATAGCTTGCCAAAGCCTAACTATGAGCAAAATATCAGTTCAAGAGGATGTGGACATCTGGGAATATTCCCTTGTCACTTGTTTTGTTGTCCTTATTTGTTGTAATTAATCATTAAAAAAAACATGATGATCATAAGCAATATCTGTTCAAATACTATAAAATAACATTATTGAAAAAGTTTTGACCTTGAACTATCAAATGGTTGAGCTGGTGGTAGGTCCAAGACCGGCTCAACAATTTATACTTTAAAAGTAATAGTCAATTATAGCTGAATTATTATAAGACCATCGTTAACGTTGCCTAACGAGAGAAGTCTTCCAACTAATAAATCGCTTCTGAGTCGACATTATGTATATTATGTAGACTCAAATGAGCTATGAAATACCCTGAATAGAGTTTGTACCTTTAGCTTATTGCCGGGGAGATACCGCACTTTTAAAAAACTTTTTAAGTAAATGTTGTGGTCTTTCTCAGGAACACAATAAAATTTAATTTTCCAAATTTCGATTTGAAATTTTGCATAGAGAAAGGTCTTGAAAAGAATAGTTTATTATAAAAGTTTCAAGTCTTTTGATTTGCTTCTATTCTGAAATAAGAACATCGAATCTGCTTGTTTACAAGAATGATGTAAAAGACACATAATTATCATAGCTGTATCTTAGGATAGAGATAGCGACAAGACCTAAAACAATCACAGAAAACTATTATTAAGACCTATATATATGCAAAGTTTCAAATCAAAATTTAAAAAGCAGTTTTTTGTGGACCACGGTATTCATTTAAAAACTATCATAAAACTGTAGTATTTCCATAACAATAAGCGTAATTTATCAATTGGAAGACTTTTTCTCGTTAGAGATGTGTAGAGTTTGTAAATCACAGAATACAAATAACTGATAAAAACTATCTCACATCTTCGGAGTGATTTGAAGGTTCAAATTAAAAAAATGTTATTGAAATTAGGAATATAGTTCAGGTTCAAAAAATTTTGAATTCTATGGATTCCAGTTTGTGTAATATCAGTTTATATAATAGATATTCAATACTGATTTAAAGCATTTAATTCAAAACTCCAGAATACGAAAATCGTTAGATTCTAATCAAAAAATTTAGATGAAGATATAATAAGTTAAGTACGTATTAAATATTTTTTTTCATTCATTTTGAAAAATCACTTAAAAAACCTTATTGTCGTTTATCATTTAACTGCTTCGTAAAAAAAATGATAATTACCAACAATTTGAACTGATTTAGTTCTATTTGGATTCTTCATTTCAAGAACTTGTTGAAGAAAAGTAATCTAAATAAAGAAATTTTTCATTTTTTTATTATTCTCTTGTTATTTTTTAATAAACCAACTTGTTCATTCTCAAAAACACCTTTCATATTATTGATAGGATCATATGGAATTTTATTTGATTTTTTAAAAAGTTTAAGCCATTCAGCTAATGGTTTTTCCAAAAATCTATATTAATTAAAATAATATAAATATTTTATTTCTAAATAAAACATAAACATTACTTTTTTGATAAAATTGAAATTAATTGTTCTCTATTAGCAACACGAAGAGCATTAGTTTTAAATAGATCATTTGTCGTTAGTTCAGGTAAATTAGTAATCTATATATAAAAGAGAATATATATTGAGAGATTTTGTTTTTGTTGATGATTAAAATAACAAACTGCACAAAGTTCATGAAAAAACTGATTATTTGTAGCTCCTACAACTATTCGTTCACCATCTTGACATGTAAATGCTTGATAAGGAACGATAGATGCATGAGCTGTGCCATGACGTTGAGATTCCCAACCAGCATTTAAATAACTAGCAGCAAGATGTGATAGAAGAGAAAGCTGAAAAATAAAATAAACAAAACTTTTTTAATTTACAAACAATTTTTGATCGATATTATTATATATAGTATCTTCAAAAATTGATCATACAGATTTTATTTCAATTTTTTTTCTGTAATGGTAACTGGCATAAAGAATTCAAATCGTCATTTCGATGAAGAAATTTGTTTTCAACAAAGATTTAAGAAAAATAAAACGTTCATTGTGTTTCCAATACTCAGGATCTCTAGGAAATAGAAAGCTTACTATTCATTTCAAAATATAATGTGCTCCACTGTTTTTTGAACAACTCTTGCTAGGAATCATAAAGACCTGTGGTTTTCCCCATTCAAGAGAGAAGACTCGAAGCCATCGAAGTACATCAAAATTGAATTTGTCAACAATTGACCAATCAGGTGAGTTGTCCCTGAAGATTTTTGAAAACAATATTGTGTAGCTATTCTCTTTTCGATTTAGACTTTTAATGGAACTAATGGATAGAAAAACTTCTTCTTCTCTTTTGATCTGCACAAGACCAATATTCCTGACTCGTTCTGTTCGAGAGTTATAAAGCTTTCTCTGAGATCTCCAATTTCAGCTGATTGACATTTGATCACCTGAAGAGGCACTTAGGCAGGGGTAATTGATTGTGCTAAGTCGAATGATCTGACTCTCTTACCACAATATTTCTGAAATTTCGACTCATTCGCTACATGAAGGCTAATTGGTGGAGCTTCAGAAATATTGAGATAATGGTGTCAGATCGTTTCGAACCTAAAAGAACAAATATCATCATTTGAATCAACATGATCAATTATCACTGTCTAGCTGCTTCTTCAGGTAATCAAAGACCGATTTGCTGAAATTGAAGGTCTCAGGGACAACCTTATAACTCTCGAATGGAACGAACTAGGAATGTTGATTTTGCGTAGATTGAAAGAGAAGAACTTTTTCTACTCACTAGTCCTATTAAAAGTCTAAATCGAGCAAGAAATAGTTTCAGAATATCGTTTTCCAAAATTTTCACTAAGAACTCATCTGATTGGTCAATGATAACTAATCAAATTTTGATATACTTCGATGGCTTCGAATCTTTCTTGAATGGTAAAAACTACAGGTCTCTATCATGTTCCTGTCAAAATTTATTCAGTAAATAGTGGAGCACGTTATATTTTGAAATGGATACTAGATTTTTTTAATACAATGAGGATTTCATTTCTCTCAAATCTTTTTTTAGAAACAAATTTCTCTATTGAAATCATTATTTGGTTTCTTTATGTCAGTTATCATTACGGAGAAAAAAATCAAAATTAAATCTGTATAATCAATTTTTGAAGATACTGTATATACTTGAGTTTCAAGTAATGAACATTCAATTTTTGTTCCTTTTCCAGTTTTTTCACGTTGATATAAAGCAGCCACAATAGCTCCAATACTTGATAAACCAGTAGCCATATCAACAACAGCAACACCAGTTTTGACAGGTTCCTAGGCACTACTTTTAATGTATACATTGATAAAAAGAATACGATTAATCAGCCAAAGAAAACTCAATCTTACTGAACTTCCTGTTATACTCATCATTCCACCTAATGCTTGAATCATTAAATCATAACCGGGTCTTTTTGAATACGGTCCTTTACTTCCATAACCTTAAGTAATATTAATATTAATAAAAGAAAAGAAAAACCAACATGAAATTTATTATTCAAACCTGTTATTGAACAATAAATAAGTTTATCATTAATCGATTGAAGATCTTTATATTCAAGACCAAATTTCTTCAATTGTCCAGGTAAATAATTCTCAATTAAAATATCACTTTTTTTAGCTAACTAATTTAATAATAATCATAAGAATTTATTTATATTTTAATTATATACAAATTACCTCACGAATAATTGTTTGACCTTCTCGACGACTCATATCGATAGCAATACTTTGTTTATTTCGATTAATACTTAAAAAATATATACTTTGATCTTCAACATATGGTGGTCCCCATGTTCGTGTATCATCACCTTGACCTTTAAGAATTGTACTTGAGAAATATCTAACAAAAAATTCTTTTTGTTTTTATTTACCAGGTTTTTCAACTTTAATTACATTTGCACCATAATCAGCCAATATCATACTAGCAAAAGGTCCTAAAAATTCATATTAATTATCAACAAAAAAAAGCCAGCAAACATGTATCTCACCGGCTAAAACACGTGTTAAATCAAGGATTTTAACCCCATGCAATGGAAGCCTATCAATAATTGTCATTGTTAGAAGGAATTTTTTGTTTTTTTTTTATTTATACAATAGATTATCAAATACCTGATTACAAAAATTTTATCTGTCTTTTACGAATGGTGTAGGAATCGAGCAATCATTTTCTTCTTCACACTGAAAAAAATGTGTCAGCCATTGTCGGTCTTATTCGACGTTAAATATAGATTGTAACGTATTGCAACAATCGAAATTCTCTTCTGTCTGTAAAAAATAGCAAAAAAAGAAATGAATCACTTTGTTGAATATGAGAGCGAGTACAAAAGGATGAAGTAGAATTTGCTTCTGGCAGTTCGAAATTACAATCAAAATGATTATTGATCGATGCAAAAAAAATCAATGAAGTCAATTGTTAAGGATTTGATAATTTTACATAGAGATTGTCAAGAAAAAAAATATGCGTATTTTAACTCCGACTTGTAACTGTTATTTTCCTTTATAGACAACAATGTCGAATTTCATCTACTTTTTACAATATGGATGAAATTCTATGAAACATAAAAAAGGACTAAAGAATAGAGTCATTTTTAAAAATCACATTAAACGTTGATTTTGGAAAAAATACGAATAAAATTATAAGTAAAATTAGGATGAAAACGTAATTATAATGGGCAAGTTCATTCGTTAGCGACATGATTTCTCAAAATAAAAATGTTTTTGTATCTGTGCTGAAATATTTCTTTTAACTACTTTTTATGTAGAAGATGTATGTTGAGTTGTTCTAGATATTCTGAAAAATTCAGCCTTAGAGATCTTAGTTCTGTCGAGTTATTATTGAAAAACCAACATTAGTGATGTAACGGAGAAGAGGACAATGGTTTTTGCTGAGTATGTTTTTCTTTACAAATTCTGGAAGTATAAAAAAATATTTTTGAAAAGTAAATAGTGCATCTTGCAGAGAACTCTTCAGGCTACAAAATCTCTACACAAAGTATTTTCTGACTATCCTTAAGTTTTTTCAAAAAATGGAGTTTCATTTGTTGTTAATGCTATGAGTGAGAACGAATATAAAAACAAAAACTCTTCTGGTAAGTGAATGAGAACCTCAAAAACCAATTCTAAATAATACAAATTTTTCTTGATGATCGTGAGATGATAGCAAAACAAAAGAATCTCGTTCTACGATAAGAACAAAATTGACTATTGAAAGGCAATCTGTTGGAGTTCGATCTTGCTAGAAATTTCACCATAGATGTAGTCTATTCTGAAGTTATTCGCTAATTATCTTTTAATTGATTAGGTATGAGGTGAAAGAGACAATATTTTTTACATATATTCATGGGAAAAGAATTTATTTAAAAAATAAACCTTATAAAAAATCAAACTCGAACTGAAAATGATCATGTTCCATTTTCTCTGATTTTGCCTTCTTATACAATGATTAATAAACTATATCTCATCATCTGACTTACTGAATAGCAGTCAAAGTTATTATCGTTATTTCAAAAATAATCTGCTTGCAATTTTCAGCAGTTTTGATCAACACCTAACCAAAATAATGTGAATATTTTTTTTTTCTATAGCATATTTTTTTGTTTACTTCATCTTAAACCCATAATAATCAATATTGAACATATTGGATTTCAAAAAAAATAAAACTTGCGTGTAAATCAATGAAACTCGGATGTATGCTATATTATTTCCGCATCGTACGTGTGTATGTCTTGAAAATCGTCCTTCATTTATCTGTTTCTTTGTTCGTTCTTTACTCATATTTTTTTCTTCTACCTTACATTAAAAAAAAAGAGAAATCAAGAGAATAAAATCGATGTGCATTGGCATCGATGTTGTCTATCAATCATTGAAAAAAGAAAGAAATCAAGTAACAGAAAGCAATGAACTTTTTCTCATTATTGTTCATAACAATAATCTATTTGTTAAATAAAACTTCTAGTAAAATAATATTTGATACTATAAATACAAATATTGTAAGTACAAGAAAAAAAATTATTTTATGGTTTTTCTGATTTTTTATTTCAATATTAATATTATAGAATTGGTTATATTTAACGAAATTTTCTTTTCATCCAATTTATGGACATATTGATATAAATTTACAGGTGAGATTTTAAAAATATGTTATTTTTTGAGTTTTGTTGAGAAAAATAGAATTTCAAACTTTTGTTTTATAGTCATTGGATAATAATACAATAAAATTTTTTGTTTTAAATAAATACGAATGGAAAGAAATAAAAAATGATTTATCAAAAATTTGTTTAAAAAACGAATTACAATTAAATTCGATTGGCAATGAAACAAATTTAGAAGTTTTATCATTATCTTTTACATCGATTGGTCAAATGTATTTTATTTTAAGTACATGTAATTCAAGTTTAAATACAACTGTAAATATATTTTTTACTTTCATTTCTTTGTTCAATACATATATATATATATATATATATGTCGTATCGAAGTTACACCGGTCGACGAAGTTATAACTTCGTCAACATTCTTG